CATATGTAGCAAGGTGATCCATATAAGTTCAGCTGCAAAAAAGGCAAGTATTAAAGTAGCTTCATCTGTGAACTCTGCAAGAAACAAATATTACTCTCTGCTTAGAAACAAAGCCACACTGATTGAGGAAAGCTTTGGTCTTCTGAAATAAGGTATAAATCAACATGAGCCAAACTTACTCTGCATGAGAACTCCCCTTCACCTATCTTTTCCTGTTTACAAAATTTGTCTAATAATTCTCATATATGTCTAATAATTTCTCATATTTATTTGTAAAATATTCCAATATTTATTGATGAAAAGTGGTAAGGAATAAAATAATATTTATCTTAAGTAAAAGCTTAATTTTCATAAATTTCATAGTTTTCCATCATTGTATAGTTTTCTGTGAGAACAATTTCTTGAGGCCTTGTTTATAAGTGAGATTGAATTTCTTATTTTGAAACAATGAATAAAATGTGTTGTCTCACCTGTTGAAAAGCTTGCCTGAGTCCTCCCATGTTCAGTCTGACAACCATCACTCCCTGTCATGGCTCCCAGACAGCTTGTACAGCTGTCCTGAACAAAGCCTGATTTCCTGGAAATGTACTAGAACCATAATTTACAAATACTAATTTACTAATATAGATATTGAAGTATTTTCAGTCAGTCCAAGATGATTTGATATAACAGCACTTTTGAAATATATTTCTCATTAGTGTCTCTTGTTCTCAGGAAGAATCCAATTTCACTTACATAATGTGTTAAGTTTCCAATTCTGTGTAATTTGCATTCTGCTTCGGGTTTTCTTGGAATTATGGAATAGAAATTGTGGAAAAAATCTTACATGTCCCATTCAGTTACCTTGTAGCATAAGTCCTGTAATACTTGTTGTCTATAAGTTAAAGTGTATATTTAGAGCAGGACTGGTTACTCCACCATGAGGATGGTGGATGACCTTCACTGGGCTATGTGTCAATCAAAATCCAGCTGGTGAATTCACGTGGTCTTTTTGCAGGAGCTATCTGGATCAAAAATTATGAGTTTCCAAAGCAAATAAAGAAGTATATACACAAAGCAGCCTTCTGACTTGAGAGCCAACTCTGCTGTGTGCAGGTGGTTGGGCCAGAGACCTCCAGAGGTCCCTTCCAACCAGAAATATCCTATTATTTTATGGTCCTATTATGCTATGATCTTTTGGTCACACTACATACTAGTCCAACAACAGATGCAATCTGTCTGCATTCAGATACTGCAGCAACAGCCTGACTGGCTGGTGGTTTGACTTGTTAGCAGAGTGGAGAAAGAGATTCATGGGACCAATCCTGTTGACAAGCAACGCTAATAAAAACCTGATGTTCTTCAGACTCAGCAAAGCCTCCTATTGTTGCAGAGATGAAACAGGCACAAACATACCTGTACTGCGCTGATCTTCAGTTTTAAAATCTAGCCTACCCACTCACCTTTGAGTAAGCTGGGCTGCTGCCAAACCATGGGATTATGAAACAACGAGAGGCACAGGGTGAGTGGCAGCAGTTCATACTTGTTATGTTTTCTCTTGCTCCTCTGTTTCGATTGGTGCCTCTACAAATTTGGATTATAAAATCTTCAGAAGACAGAATGGATTTTCTCTCCATGTCTTACATAGAATCTACTTAGGCAAAGGACTTTGGCCTCTGATTTTTGTTTCTAGGTATCATGGTCATTCAAATATTTTGTAACAGCTACACAGTGTGAGAGACTTTAGAGGCAGAATGGCTTGCCCACTTTGAACTCTTAATTTCTTTTCATTTACCACTCCATAACACAGCTCACATCTGCAGGCGTGACCTGTTCACCATATCTTTAAGAAGCTCTGCTTGTGCCTATACTAAAACATTTGACTAGAATGAATTTACCATGCAGTATAGATCTTATGATAACCCTGACCTTAATTTCCCATTTAGTCACTGTTTTTCTCTTCTTTAGATCATATAAATTTTGCTTTCCTGTTGCTGAAAACAAATACTATTTGTTTTCCTCATTATTAGGATGGACAATTCTCATGCTCTCTTGCCAGCTCTTCAATCAGAGCTGCTGAATAAGCTGAAGTCTTCTCTCTAAAGCACAGGGTGTGTAGTCTGCTGCTATCTTCCTGTGGTCTTCTCAGGATCACAGACACCTTTCCTCAGTTACTACAGCAAAGGCTTTGGTGACCAAGACACCGACTGCCACCCACATCCCATGGTTCTGCCTTGCTGGCATGGCAGATCCAGCTGCAATCACCTGTGGCTGGCCCATCCAGTATCAATAAATCGTCTGCACCTTTCAGAAATCTTGACTGCTTGCATTGTGATTGTTGTGCTTATAGCAGATGTCAGGTAGGATGAAATCCCTCATCAGTCTGGGATCTAAGTCTCCCTCAAATTCCTTACAGAAGACTTAATTTGCCTGATGAAGTGATCTGTAACAAACTCCCACCACGTCATACTTGCAGAGCGCTAGTTTCTCCTGCTTGCTTCCCAGTCTGTAGGCGTTTGTGTGCATACCCTTGAGGTGGGTGGCCTCTCACACACCCTATTTCATCATTCCTGAGGTCTCTTATTCCCAACATGCATGCTGCACCATTTTCTTACTGCCCTTGACTACTATTTCTTCTCTTCCCTGTGTGTTGCCATCTCCCTTCCCTGTTCCTACCTGAAAGTTCTCCTATGGCTGGCAAAGATGCTTGTCTCGCTTCATCAGGTGGACTTGTCTCTCCTTGAGGATACAAGATAGAACTGATGTCTTCTCTCAGGCAGGGTTTGTTACTGTAATGATCTATATGCACTACCAGAACTTGTAACTGCTCTCAGAGCTCAATCTCCACAAACGTGAGTGTGTGTACACACCCACACACAATCCTGGTCTACCCTATCTATATTGGTTAAAAAGGAGAGGAGAGGAGAGGAGAGGAGAGGAGAGGAGAGGAGAGGAGAGGAGAGGAGAGGAGAGGAGAGGAGAGGAGAGGAGAGGAGAGGAGAGGAGAGGAGAGGAGAGGAGAGGAGAGGAAAAGAAACTCAAAATTCCTTTTGCCCTAAGGGCTTAGTCATGACAATTAAGTGATGGTGTCCAATCTCTGCATGATTTCAATTTGATCACAATGCAGCATCTCAGTTTACACACTGTTGCTGTTTTCAATATGCCTGTACTAATTCAACATCTTTCCAGCTCCTCTGCTTAGTCTCCAGCCACAATTAGCCTCACACCTGTCAGATACAGGCCAGCATAGCCATGTATCCCCCCCACGTTTTTTAAATGTAGATCAATATTGCACAATATTTAAATTTTCTCTTGGTGTGATCTGCTCTGTGTTTCCAACTATATTCTGCCCTATAATTTATAGACAGATAGAAACTTCAATACCATCTCTGGCTTTCCATGACTGCCTTTCAAGATTCTTCAGTTCTCTATGGCCTTCACAGTTTCACTCAAAGTCACATAATTGGTTGCAAACTGAATTATATCTCAACTAATTGTACAAACTTCTGCAGTAGTGAAATAACATTTTGCAGTTCTGTGCCATATTGTCCTTCTGCTATCTTTGAGCACTTTGTTCTCCTGGGGTTATACAGGAGTATGTCCTGCAGCGTGGCTGACTAATACTTACAGCAGTCCTCCTACAAATTTATCTTGCAGCTTTGAATTTCAGTAGATGAACTGCTGGATATCCGATGGCTTGATGTGTCTAGCTGGTCAAATATCCTTTCTTGCTTTTTTCTTTTTTCTCATAGATGGCCAATCCACTTCTTTTGTTTCTATTTCTCATTCTCTTGATGCTGTCCTCCCCCATTGTTTCTGTGGCAACACTTACACAACGCAGTCATCCAAGAAGCACTCATTTTCTCAAATATTATACTTTTGAAATATACACTTCTAGATCACAGCTGTTATATAAAAGCTCAAGAATATTTCACGTTTCAATAAAGAGTTCAGACATAAAAACTTTTTAAAGTCACATTCTTTATGCTTTAGCTGAAGGAAAACTTATTCTTTATTCCCATTAACTTAGTTGCTAAGGAATGTTTACTTCTGAGGATCATGGAACCATAGAATCACAAAAGATCCGAGTTGGAAGGGACCCACAGGAACATGGAGTCCCTGGCTTCAAACAGGACCACCCAAAATCAATCCCTGTGTCTGAGAGCTCTGTCCAAACGCTCCCTGAGCTCCGGCGCTCGGGGCTGCGCCCACAGCCCTGGGCAGGCTGTTCCGTGCCCACCGCCCTCTGGCACAGACCCTTTCCCTAATATCCAGTCTGAAAAATGGATCATAATTTGATTTTATAGATATTAATGTATGTTTTTTATGGTGAAAGTATGTCTTTATGACCTAGGTCGTCTTATGCATTATGAATTGTAATGCATCTCAATCTGCTCCGTGCTTCCATATATGCAAAAAGACAGGGTGGAACATGGCTAATGTAGACATAAACATCTTGAACGACTCATCCAGATTGCCGCTGCAGTGCACAGAAGAAGAAGCACGTCGAGATGATTCATCTCATCCCTAAGCAGACACCTTGAGCGGCTGATGCAAGCAGCGACTCTACGGATCAACTTTATTTTGGAAATAACAGAGGCCGGGGGAGTCGGTCCTAGACTCGGTGAAACCTCGGGGCCATTAATCTAGAGACAGCGCGAGGGAAGCAGAGAGAGGCGGAAACACCCGGAAAAGCAAAACTCGCAGCGCCCAGACACAGCCCTCACGCCCCACCACTCCCCGCACACCGAGGCGCGACGCCCACGCCTCAGGCGGCCGAGGCCCCGCCCCGCGCATGCGTGCCCGGCGGCGCTCGGCGCGGCGGGAGCCGGCTCGGGGGCGGGGCCGGGCGGCGGGCCGGGAGGTGGCCGGTGACCCGGCGGAGCGAGGGCCCGGCGTGAGGCGGGGCGGGCTCGCGTGGGCGAGGCTGCGAGGCGCCGAGTCGTGAGTCGTTCGTACGGCTGTTAGGGGCCCGCCGGGCTGCGGGAGTCCCGCGGTGGGCGCCGGCGGGGGCGGTACGCTCTGCCCTCCCCATCCCCTCCTACTCCCGCTCGGCCCGGCCCGGCCCGGCCCCGCTCGGCGCTGTGATTGGGCGGAAGATGGCGCTGGGCGGATGGAAATCCTAATGACGGTCTCCAAAATCGCCTCCATCTGTACCATGGTGAGTGAGCGACTAAGGGACCGCGCCGTTCGGAGGGGTCCGCGGGGCGGGTGGTGGGGCAGAACCGCGCTCCGTGGGTGGGGATCGGGGGCCAGCGTAGTTAATCGGCTTTGGGAGGCTGCACCCAGGGGAAGGGCAGAGCTCGGGGGCTTTCCGACGGAGGCGCTCAGGACAGGGTCTCCTCGGGAGCCGCCCGTGCCTGCCCATCCCGGGCCGCGGAGCCGCGTGCCGGTGCTGCGCGGGGCCGTCCCGCTGTGCGCCGTCCGGCAGCGCGCGCTGGGACTCGTGGGCACCGCGCCGCGTCGTGAGGGGCTCCGGGCTGCGGCGGCCCTTGCGCTGCTGCCACGGGGGCGGGAGGAGAGAGCGGAGGGGAAAAATAGCCTCTGCCTCTGGTTGTTCAGTTGCTGGGTTGGCGTTGTAACGTGCCGTGATTTTGAGCAGTGGAAAATGCTGATGGGTGCGTTCTGGACGCCGATTTATGATTTTCATAAAGCTTACCGCAGAGAGGCTTCGGTGTCTCCAGCGGGCATTGCAGAGGTGGCCCGAGAGAATGTGGAGTGGCTGCCTGTGGAGGTGGCTCAGGTGGCCGCCCCCCGGCTGGAGCAGCGCTCTTTGCGACGTGGGAGATGACAGCTTCTCATCTGAACTCCAAGGGTCCGATTCCCTGAATGCAGGAGCTGTACGCCAAGGTCTTTGTATGGCCAAATGAAGGAACAGCAGTTCTCGTTCTCTGGAGTGGTTAAATTTCACACTAGACTGTGATTGATCCGTGAGCCTTTACCCACAGCTGCCTGCTGGACATTCTGTCATCGTAGACTCAGTGCCAGTCCCTTGATTTAGGCCCATTATGGGACCTCACTTCTCTACTTGTAACAGTATGAAAGCTGTAGGTGTGGATCACCCAGGCATATGGTTGAAAATTTCCTGTGTGTGTGGTTGTTGGTGATGGTGTTTTGTCACTGGCATACAAATCAGTACCTAAACAATTTTTTTTCAACTAAAAACCTCGCAATTAATTGTCTGTACCAGTGAAGCCAAAATTCTGATGTCAATGAGGTATTCCTTGTCCAATTGTAATTGTGTATTCTGAGGTGGATAGACCCCAAGTATGAGATTTTTCCTGTGCCTTTTCTGGTGCTTAAGATTTAGTGGTACTGCAGGAGAGAGGACAGCTGGCTCAGGATACCCCCTGTAAAAGTTTAGCAGTTCTTAATATAGGAATTGGCTGTTTCAGTGAAGGTAGCGTGGAGAGGTACTTGATATTTACGTAGGAATTGTTGAGAACGATGTGGTTATGGCCAGGCAGATCTTTTAAATGTTAAGGAAGTCATAATAATCATGTGTAAGCATTGATTTTGCAGAAACAAGAATATAAATGCTGAGTAATACTTTCTTTTTTTCTTTTTTTTTTCTTTTTCTGGCAATTCTTAGTGACAAGCTACCATTTGATAAACTCTCAGACAAGTTTCTGAAGATTCTCAGAACATTTCCTTGCCTTTTCCCTAAGCCTATTGGAACAATTCTCAGGTTGATTCTCACCTGACGTCTGGCTAGTACAAAACCAGCAGCAGGCAATTTTTGCCACAAGATGGTTTGTGTATTCACAAACCTAACACATGTTGTGTGCTGGTGGCCTGTAACAGACCTATCGGAGCCACGCTGAATAATCTCTTCAATCTCAGTCATTCATTTTATGACTTTCTTTTTTGTATCCAAATTCAAGTTTTCACTGCTGCTTACTCACTTAAATACAATGCATCCTTTTCTCTGAAGCTCTGAATATTGGAAAGTAATAAGGTGGATTTTCCAGCACTGGTCAATGGGGTATGGTGAAGAGTGATGTCAGAAAGGCCACAGTGCCTTTTGAGGTGATGTTGCAGAAGCACATTCTGTCTACAAAATGTAGTTCATGCTTCATTAGTTCATGCTGCATCTATACTCCAGTGTTTATATCAGTAGTACTGCAGGTCTTCCTATTCTATCCCTTCAGGGTTCTTTGGATTTCTTTTCCCTATATCACCACTCCTGTGCTGTAGTAAGCCTTAATTACAAAGCACAAGATTGCAGAAAGGAACTGGAAAGCAACTTTTCTCTTGTGTGGCTTATGTGCTGCACTATTCTTTTTGCCAAATGGGCAAGGGTATGGGTGATTGGGTTGGTTGGTTTGTTTAAATGTCTTTGCAGTAGAAGTAGAGCCTGGCATTTTACCCTCATCCATGCATTCAGCTGCAAAACAACTCTTAGTTGTCTGAATGATAGGAGGTTTTACGCATGGTTGGGAAATGGTAAAACAACCTGTGCAACTTGCAACAAAGATATGTCCCAAGCTATACTCATGTAAAATTAGGGCTGAATACAGTCCTTCTGACTTTGCTTCTGCTGTCTAGAGTCCAGCAAATGCTTAGCAGTCATAGAAAGGTATCAAGTCTTCTAGTAGCTGGAGTAGAGAGGATAGATCAAAAGCTATGGAGGTGTCCATCTCAGACGTACAGAAGGAAGTTACGATAAGGTACTGGTAACAAGTACCAGTAGAGCTGGTACTTGTTTTTCAGTGTTTCTTCTAGAAATTCGTTGGTTATGTTAGCACAACCTGAAAAACCATAGTGAAATTTAGATGTGATGCTAATCCACCAGCTGTAGTATTTGACATGAAAATCTTTTGCTTAATGTTTCAGGCATTTGTTTAATTGTTCCCTACTAGTTTAGCATCTCATACGCAGGGTCAGCGTACTTGGCTAGTATTACTGTAGAAAGTCCTCAGTGACTAATTCAGATTTCAAAAAATGCCATCAAACACACAGTCTGTAGCTAAATGTAGATTTAATGATGCAATAGTGTGTTCTGCCTGAGGAGTTTGTGTGTTTCTTACAGTAGAAATTTTTGGTTTTAGGTTTATTTTTGAATGCACCGTGTGCACGCACCAGTCATGCTGAATCGTTGCCTACCATCCTTTTCCTGCCTCTCTCCTTACCCCCCGGTACCCTTCTGCCTGTTTCAGTCACATTTGACAAGAATGAAGAGGTCTTGTAGATGCTAATGTTAATACAAGCATGTGGGGCTGGAGGCTGCTGAGAGGAAACAGGCAGAGCTTAGGGAAGGCAGCAGTGCAACCTGCCACAGAAGTCACAATGGAGAGGTTTTATTAAACACTTAATTGCAGGCAGAGTTTACTATAAACTTTGAGATAGGTTTGCATGTATGGGCTTCATTACTGCTCAGGGAACTATCTGTTTGCAGTAGGTTTTTCAAACCTAATTGTGAAATCTGCACTTAATGTAAATTGATGTTTGCCAGGGCTTGAACTCAGACGGAATGGCTGCTATGTACTTGCTCTTGTTCCTTTAGTTTGCACTCTACTCTCAAGCACAAATTGTAATACTTAGACAGTAATCAATTATCAGTTTTTACAGATTCTGCAGGAAAGCATAAGGAAGACTCGAGCTCAAAGGAGTGATAATTGAGAGTTGCAGCAAGGAAAAACATCGCTTCAAAGTGAGAAGGTAGCAGAAAAGAAAGCAAGAGGGTGAGAGAGCTGACACAGGGAAAACAGCAGCATTGTGGTGTTCCTTTATCCAGCTGACTGACTTGCTTATGTAGCAGGGCTGGCAAGGAGGAGCATGTGCTGCGTCTCAGCCATGCCATTTCACCTTGGCATGGTGACCTGAATCTGCCTTCATCATTGGACTGGAGTGTTCTGAAATGTGTTCTGTTTTCATGATTCTGTTACACTCACTTTTCACAGAATCACAGAACTGTAGGGGTTGGAAGGGACCTCCAGAGATCATCAAGTCCAACCCCCCTGCCAAAGCAGGTTCCCTACAGCAGGTCACACAAGTAGGCATCCGGGCAGGTCTTGAACATCTCCAGAGAAGGACACTCCACAACCTCCCTGGGCAGCCTGTTCCAGTTCACTTTCGGAGAAGTGTGTGTTAGACAGTTGGTTCAAGAGCCTGTACCACTGCAGGGAGCTTCACTCATTGGTTGGAGTTGCAATAAGGAGAATTTTTCATAATGATTGTGACATGATTGTGGCATTTGTCATTGTCATTTTTGTAGGTGCAACATGTTGCAATATAGTAATAAAAAAATAAAGCTACACACTTGCTGCTTAAAATGCTGGGTTTGGGGCAGTGCTTAAAATGCACCAATTACTTTGGACACGTTTGACTCTAAATGTAACTAAAAATTCATATAAAACAAACGTGAAATACAACACATGAAGAAGAAAGCACTGAAACTGTATAGCTGCAAAGCAGTATTTGTCACAGCACAGAATTTCTTAGTTGGCTCACTACTTAAATAATTTCAATTATATAAATGTGCCTGTGTCATTTGACTTACATGTGAACATTCATTTATCGGGTTCTAAGCACAAAGAAACAATGGAATACCTACTTGGTCTTGCCAGCAGTGAATTTTTAGCTGTGTCAGTGGGACCAGCTGATCCCATTACTGCACAAGGGTTGATTATTCTGATGATCATTTATGTGGGCTTTGTTACTTTTTAAATTGGCAAAGCAAGTGATTTGCATCAAGACTTGTAGGAATGACTTTGTAAGAATGTGGTAGAAGGGTGTCTGTCCCTTAATTAAGATTGTTTACATTTCTCTAGAGTATCTGTTGAAGGAAGGAAGAGTATAGAAGGCCCATGTAGGGGTCAACTTTTGTTTTCCTGGTTTAGGAAGTTTCTAAAAGTAAAATGCTTTTAACAAATGTTGTATTTCAAATCAGATCTGTTTGATCTTTCAGTCTTAAAAAAACATGAAGAAGAAAACCCACTTAACCCTAGATAAGTTTTGTAGCATATAACCATAATGGTTTAGTGTATTAACATAAATACATCAAAGTCATGTGTCAATATAAATGTACCAGAGCAGAAGAGCATTTTTACCATTTTTCATAACTTCAAGAAGTTTTAGTGAGTCTGTGGAAATAGGGAAAACAGCATTTGTTTTCATGAAACAGCAATTTTTGTGGATTGAAAGTGTATTTTAAACATT